TAGGAAATTCAAAAGGTTTTCTCTAACGGATGCCCTTTGAGCCAGAAATCACGAAAGATACGGGATGACGGACAAACGATAGGTAGTGGTACGAGCATACACCAGTTTATAACGACATCTAGTTACAGAAGTGGATATGCATTGTTTAAGTTTTGTGTGTAATGGGTGAGTGGTGTCTGATAGAATATTGTTACAGAAGTTATCGCAAGGGGTACAATTTCTATCGGCGATAAAGTTAAACAAGTGCAAGTAAGAAATACCGCTCGTGCGAGAAATAATTTTAATAGAACGGCGTAGAATTGTGTAATCTTTAGCTCTAAGACCGGCAAATAAAACTGGGGAGCAGTAGAGAAGATGAGTAACAACACAAGAATATACAAATCGAGTGAGTAAATACAGTGGAACTTTCAAAGAACGCAAGCGGGTAATGAAGAAACACAACCGTCGAATTTTTACAAAAGTAGAATTTAAATGTGAGGTCCAGGTGAGATCTTGGCGGATAGTGACACCGAGGTATTGTAGAGAGTTTACTGGGGGAACAGGCTGGTTGTCAACATCGAGTGCAGAACAATTTCTTTTAAAAGAATGTAGCCGTTCTCCTTTGGCGAGTGAAAAGGCGACATCGCTAAATTTAGATGCATTAAGAGATAACTTGGAAGACGAAGACCATAAGTTTAAGACAAATGTGAGAAGCGGAAATCACATTGGAATTTGGAACCAAATGTGACATCATCAGCATACTTAATAAGATCATTTGGGTTAGAGGGAAGGTCATGAAAGGTCAAGAAAGGGGGACGGAATTGCTCCCTGGAGCACCCCTGAGTTTACTGGTAGGGAGTCAGAGGTTTTTCCAAAAAACTTTGTGAATTGTGTTCTACCAGCAAAATAATCTTGGAGTAGAGAGAGAGTATTATCAGACAATCCAGCACCTTGGAGTAGCGATAAAAGCCTGCTCCTTTCAACACAGTTAAAAGCGTTACTATAGTCGAGGAAACACACACGAAATGCCCTGCCGTGCATGTCTAGGTATCGCAAAACTGAGTTTACCAAATGGGCAAGAGCATCTAAGGTAGAACGTTGTTTGCGATAAGCCAGTTGGTTTTCATCTAGATGCCCAGTATTGGGAATAGTGTTATTAAGCATAAAATTTTCTAAAATGTTTAGTAAAATAGAAGTGCAGGTGATTGGTTGTAGTTTGCCAGCTTCTTTTGGGGGGACTGGGTAATGCGCATAGGTCTTCAGCAGTCGACAAATTTTTGTTCCTCGATCAGCGGTTGAAAATACCGGCATGTGGCTCCGCCAGATGATGCGCACATTCCATGAG